GTTGTAGCCCTCCCGCCGAATAAACCTTGCGTCCAAACAAATCGAAGCGCTTAGCGTCCTTCGATTTGGGCGCTGCAGCCTGCTGGCCGTGGCGCTCCCGTGCATTCACTGACAACACCACCAGTGAGCACGGTTGGGGATGGGTATAAAGGTACTCGTGGTCCTTGGAGGGAACGAAGTACTTTCTTTCCACCCTTCTGGCTGTGGGTGGAATAGAGGCAGGGGTTTGCCAGATCGTAGTGGCATTAGCCTGGATGGTACGTATGAGCGGTAACGCCACTCTGGATGGGGCATCAGCTGAGAGGATGCTCACCACCGGGTCCTGTACCTCCACGATCTCCTCCGCCTGGAGGTCCATATTGCGCGCCACCCGGCGCAATAGGTCCTGGTGGACCCGAAGGTCTATAGGGGGCGGGCCCGTGGCGGTTGTGCCCGCCACCGCCTCGTCGGGGGAAGATGAGGAGGATGCCTCCGGTGGCAAGGGGTCTAATGGCGGGTCCTGCTCCAGGGGTTCGTGACGCTGGGCATCGCCTGACCCTGGGTCCAGGGCCGCAGTAGGTGTAGGCACGGGAGCCTCCATTCCCCCTGGGGGAGGGCGGGAGATGGTGGCCTCCGGGGCCCTGGGCTCGGAACGTGCCGAGCGAGAGGCTGATGGTGGTGGAGCCCCCTGCGCCTGATGATAGGCCCACGGAGTCCAAAAGGACCAGTGCGCAGGTCCCTGTGCAGGGTCCTCGGTCGCCTCCTGCCAATGGCCCAAATCAGCCGTAGCCGCCTGACCCTGAGGAGGGTACGCCGACCTGGAGGCCCGCTCGGAGGAGCGAGATGCCGATCTCGAGGGCCAAGGCGGTGCCGAACGCGACGAAACCGGCTCCGGATGGTACGGTGCCGATCGGTGCCGGTCATAAAAAGGGAAATAAAAACAACCCAGGAAACTACAGACCAGTTAGTTTAACTTCTGTGCCAGGGAAGATAATGGAGCAAGTAATTAAGGAAATCATCTGCAAACACTTGGAAGGTGGTAAGGTGATAGGGAACAGCCAGCATGGATTTGTAAAGAACAAATCATGTCAAACCAATCTGATAGCTTTCTTCGATAGGATAACGAGTCTTGTGGATAAGGGAGAAGCTGTGGATGTGGTATACCTAGACTTTAGTAAGGCATTTGATACGGTCTCGCATGATATTCTTATCGACAAACTAGGCAAATACAATTTAGATGGGGCTACTATAAGGTGGGTGCATAACTGGCTGGATAACCGTACTCAGAGAGTTGTTATTAATGGTTCCCAATCCTGCTGGAAAGGCATAACGAGTGGGGTTCCGCAGGGGTCTGTTTTGGGACCGGCTCTGTTCAATATCTTCATTAACGACTTAGATATTGGTATAGAAAGTACGATTATTAAGTTTGCGGATGATACCAAACTGGGAGGGATTGCAACTGCTTTGGAGGACAGGGTCATAATTCAAAATGATCTGGACAAATTGGAGAAATGGTCTGAGTTAAACAGGATGAAGTTTAACAAAGACAAATGCAAAGTGCTCCACTTAGGAAGAAAAAATCAGTTTCACACATACAGAATGGGAAGAGACTGTCTAGGAAGGAGTACGGCAGAAAGGGATCTAGGGGTTATAGTGGACCACAAGCTAAATATGAGTCAACAGTGTGATGCTGTTGCAAAAAAAGCAAACGTGATTCTGGGATGTATTAACAGGTGTGTTGTGAGCAAGACACGAGAAGTCATTCTTCCGCTCTACTCTGCTCTGGTTAGGCCTCAGCTGGAGTATTGTGTCCAGTTCTGGGCACCGCATTTCAAGAAAGATGTGGAGAAATTGGAAAGGGTCCAGAGAAGAGCAACAAGAATGATTAAAGGTCTTGAGAACATGACCTATGAAGCAAGGCTGAAAGAATTGGGTTTGTTTAGTTTGGAAAAGAGAAGACTGAGAGGGGACATGATAGCAGTTTTCAGGTATCTAAAAGGGTGTCATAAGGAGGAGGGAGAAAACTTGTTCACCTTAGCCTCTGAGGATAGAACAAGAAGCAATGGGCTTAAACTGCAGCAAGGGAGGTCTAGGTTGGACATTAGGAAAAAGTTCCTAACTGTCAGGGTGGTTAAACACTGGAATAAATTGCCTAGGGAGGTTGTGGAATCTCCATCTCTGGAGATATTTAAGAGTAGGTTAGATAAATGTCTATCAGGGATGGTCTAGACAGTATTTGGTCCTGCCATGCGGGCAGGGGACTGGACTCGATGACCTCTCGAGGTCCCTTCCAGTCCTAGAATCTATGAATCTATGAATCTATAAGGGGATCGGTCCCTGCGCGGTGCCGGTGAGCGGTGCCGGGATCAGGATCGGTGCCGGTAGCCGCGTCGGTGCCGAGAACCGGACCTTGAGCGGGACGACGACCGCGACGAGAGCTGGTACCGGGAGCGGCCCCTGGAAGTCGAGCGGCGCTCATACCGGTGCCGAGAACTACGCCTGGAGTCCGATCGGTGCCGATGATCGCGACGGTGCCGAGACGTAGAGCGGTGCCGCGAAGAGGATCTTGGCCGCGAGTACGACCGGTGCCGAGGTGATAGTCGGCGCCGGGACTGCGAGCGGCGTCGGGACCTGCTCCGAGACCTGGAGCGGTGCCGAGAGTCCACGGCCGGAGACGGTGGGCGCACCAGGGCAGGCTTGCCCCTGGATTGCACTGCGCAGGGAGCCAACGGGTGCCGGAAGTTGAGACGGTGCCGGCTCCGTGAGGGCAATAAGGTCTCTCGCCGTCGCAAATGTCTAGGGGTGGAAGGGAGACAAGGCTCCACCATCGACCGAGGTGGTGATACAGTCCGCATCGGACTCAACGGCCTCGGTGCCGGAGTCGACGGTGTGGCCGGCACCTGCTTTTGGCGGTCCAAAGGCGGACACGGCTCTACCCCCGGCACCGGGGGAGCCGGCGTCTTCAGGACAGCAATGTCCTGCGCCTTACGGGCTTTCTTGTGGCCCAGAGATAGGGACCGGCGCCGAGTCCCTTGAGGCGGGCGCGGTGCCGAAGTCGGCCGGTGCCGTGAGGACTTGTCTGCAGTACCGGTCGGAGCCGCCGGAGCGCTGCGCACCAAGGCGCTCGGTGCCGGGGCTGGGCGCGCCGAGGGAGGATCCGGGCTAAGTGCCGCCTCCATTAGGAGCTGCTGAAGTCTAAAGTCCCGCTCCTTTCTTGTTCGTGGCTTGAAGGCCTTACAGACGGGACACTTATCTGCCTGATGGGATTCTCCAAGGCACTTCAGACAGGAGTTATGCGGGTCACTCGTTGGCATAGGCTTAGCGCAGGATGCGCACTGCTTAAAGCCAGGAGCCTTGGGCATGAGCCCGGCTGTGAGCCGGGGGAAAAGGGGGGAGAACAACCCCCTTAACCCCCGCTAACTATTTACAACTATAACGAAGTAAAATGAATAACTATCTGAAGAATTTAACAACTATAACAGAACTATCTACACTAATTAGAAGGATAAGCTAGGGAGAGTGGAGAACAGCTATGCCGCGCTCCACAGTTCCAACGACCGTCAGGGGCGGTAAGAAGGAACTGAGGGGGCGCTGGGTCGGCTGGGGTATATATCCAGCGCCATGAAGGCGCCACTCCAGGGGGCTCCACAGCCAACCCACTGGGTGTTGCTAGGGTAGAAAATTCTCCGACGATCGTGCACGCAGCGCGCGCACACCTAATTGGAATCGATATGAGCAAGCACTCGAAGAAGAAGACCAGGTTACCTGGAGTGAGGCAAGGGCAAGGCTGGGGCCAAGGCAGGAGCAGGGCTGGGAACAAGCAGGCACAGTCTATTGCAGCTGTGGACAAATGTTTTGAGCAGCCACTAAACTGCTGCTGCTGGGCTTAAGAGCCAGTCTGCTGACTCTTCCCACCAATTAGGTTGTGTAGCCAATCAGGCAGCTTACTACAGGCCAGCTGTGTTCATTAGGTTGCCTAGAGACTCGCTCTGCTGCAGGCCTTGCTTTCTGATGCTCCCTAGATTCACAATTTACAGGTTGTTCTTTCAGTTTAGAGCTCACAGCCTGGTTCTCAAAAGGCTTGTCATAGCACCTCTATCTCTGGTTTAATCCAAGAACGATCTTCAGCACTATCACAATGCCGCCTGCTCATGTTTATCAGACTTCTGTCCGGTGGGAGGACACGTCTCGTGGAACCTGGGCATTATGACCAGCACTTACAGCTCTGCTAGCTGCTGAAGTCCTCTTCGCTGTTCCCCCTCTGAAACGTTGCTCAGTTCTCTTGTAGTACTGGCACCTCTCAGAGATGCAGGATAAATAATAGAGGCTGCTTTCCCCAGTGTTCACCCATTCACACACAACACTCTACTCGGCTTTAGGCAGATCAGGCTTAAACATCGTTTAACACTTCCTTCGCAGCATTTCACATCTTTCCTTTACTAGCAGGCTACAGTAGGAGTCACATCTTCCACATTGCTCATCGTGCACAAGATTAGCCTAGTTAGGATAATATTACCCAAACGTGGGAATTGCTACATTAGATTGGATTAGTTATCTATCTAGTAGAGCACACCGTCCATCAGCAAGCAGTAACAGTTACAAAGCACAACAAACCCTATAACTGATAGTTATGGAATAGCCTGTCCATGGGTTTATTTCTTCCTGACTCCATCAGTTGGCGGCTGGCTTAAATTCTCAAGCAAGAGGATTTAAATCCCAACAGGAAAGCAAAGTAAACAAATTAAACAGCTTTCCACTCTTCTCAAATTTACAGGAGAGAACAAGATTGCTTATTCCTTGGTGGGCTGCACAGACTCTCCCAGTATCTAAAGGACCATTAAGATTTAATATACACCACCCCTAATTAAGGTTAAGGTAAGTTTACCTGGCACAAGAGGCTGTCCATCCATAGGCAAACAATTTCACAGAGGTTATTTTTTGTTTGTTTTAAACAGCAATGTATAAAGATCTACAGTCAAGCAACTGATATAGGAAGCATAAATGCCTCCCTGAAAAATTACCTTAAGCACAATTTTGTTGTCAGAAGTTGGTGTCCTTCCTACCCACAGTGCAAATTTGCAAGGATCTCCTTCTACGTGCTCTGTGACACCCAGCTCTGAAGTCTGGAAGTGAAAAAAATTGGTTAGGACTCTATGATAATTTTTGCACCGTATCCACAGAAAGACAACTATTCCACTAAGCTGAACATATACTCCTAAATCACTCTGCGCATTCAAAAGTTCCTCTCCACTTTGGCATTTTTGAGAACCCCATCTGTTGGCTTTTTTGCTTAGAAATAAAACAATTTTCAGCAAACTGCTTCCAACATTGGTATACAACGTAATAAATATGTGGTTACACCACCAAATAACATGTCAGAAATTCAATGTTCTGATTTTTCACCCAAATCCTCATTACTCTATTCAAAGTGTCAGTTTCTCAGGCTAGAAGTCAAGCAGCTGCTGTCCTCACTTATTTCAGTTAGAGATAATGGCAATTATTACAGCAGGTAAGGGATAATATTCTTGCCTGGAAATCATGGATTAACAAGAGGAAGTTTTTTCTTTATGTTTAAAATTCTAATCTCCTTTCTACCTAAGAAATCACTTCTAATGTGTTTCCTTCCCTCTGCAATAATGGAAGCGATCCAGAAATTGCATGACCTTGGAGGTGAACTTGGGAGGTTACTTACAGTAAGTAACCGCCAAGTTCATTTCCAAGTAACTGTGGTTCTTCAAGATGTGATGCAGATGTGTATGCCAAGTAGGTGTGCGCGCACACCGGAGCCAGAGATTTTTGCCTAGCAGTTTCTGTAGAGGGGTGGCATTCATCCTCATGGCTGTGGCCCCTCCCCGGATACATGAGGCGATGCCGCCCCAATCCCTCAGTTCCTGTTCACTGAACATCCAATAATGTGTTTTTTCTTTCCAATTGGAGTATGATCTAAAATGTCAATTAGTTTCTCCTTTAGCAATACAAAATAGGATTTAATCCAAGGGGACTAGCAAATAAATTAGGAAATACAAATCAAACTGCAAGATGCCTGACTCTTTAAATGTCAAAGGTGAGGGTTCTGAATTGTTATGTAGGGTCATGACTTAAGTGTAAGTAACAAAGTAAATTGTTAAATGCATAATGGAAACTCTATCTTCACACACACACACACACACACACGGAGACAAAGCACTATTAGCATATACACAATGACTGTAGCGTGCACTGGATAGCCAGAGCATGGGAGGCACTATTTTTTTCTAGTAGCATTTCAACACTACTTGCTTTTGTGGCCTTGGTCAAATCAGTTAGACTCACTGCTTTGTCATCCACATCTGTAAACTTGGTCTTTTTTACCTCATAAGGGTGTTTAATGTTTGTAAAGCACTTTTATTTCAAACAAAGTGTAAAATATATTTCATTGATCTAGGAACAATCTTTGCATGTGCCAACATGCTGTACAGTGCAAATACTGAAGGGTATATTAACAAGTTACATCACAATTAAAAAATATCAGAAAAGTATTTTTAAGTGAACTTTAAAAAGTCATTAATATAAGTGATACTTGGAAAAGCAATCCTCTGGGTGCCATAGGGACATTGGTGTTGAAAAGCCCCATCCTCAGATACTGCTCAGAGGATAGAAATATTAGAAAGAAATCAGATAATTTATACAGGGTACTGGCAGAAATATAAACATGAAATAGACTATTTGAAGAAAAGAACAATAAAACCTAGTAATACAGAAGTCCACTGCTTGTCTCAAACTAAGACAAGAAATGGAATAATTTATATTCAGCAGCAAGTTCTGAGTATAAGTTTTAGTTATTAAGACAACAACTTGAATTCTAGTCAAGTTTTAAAAAATAATTTAGAAGGACTGTAGTTTCAGGTACTGCACTTGCTTCCAAGTCCTGCCAATTTTTATAAATTTACAAATCACATTTTTCTATATTTTTAAATTAATGTCTCTCCTCCATCTACTCCAAGAAACTGCTTATTCATAAAGTGCTGTAAGGTGTACCATGTGAAACTGAAATAAAAGGAAAATATATTTTTTTCCTCCAACCCCTTTCAGTTGTTTGACAGTAATTCAGTTATTACTTGTCACAATACTGGATAAAAAACAGTTGCATGTTTTTCAGGTGGTGGCATTCCTTTAATTTCACTTTTTGTTGAGTTACATGTAGTAATTAAGTAATCAATCCTCTGATTTTGAGACAAGCAATGTACTTTTGTATTACTGGGGGGTGAGGGTAGTGGGTTTGCTCTCTTTCTTCAACTTAATCCCCAGAGTATTATCTTGACGATATCCTCATTAGATCTGGTTAGAAAATGCCGTCATGGAAAATTACAACAAAAACAAAAAAAGATTTTTGTCAAAAATTTCCAGGGAAAATATCAACTTTCTGTCTAAATATCTGAAATAGAAAATAATCAGCTTTCAGCAGAATTTTTTTTTAATTTTTCTATGAAAATTCAACATTTTCCATGGAAAGGAAACACGGTGTGAAAAGTTTTCCACAGAACACTGAGGTTTTTGACAAAACCAATGTAAACAGAACATTTTCCATAAGCCCTAATCCTAGTTCTGCCTTTAAGATTAACATTTCCATAAGCACACAGAAATGTTTCCCTCTCATAGGTTAATAATGGCAAAGGCCAGATGGTTATGATGTGGGATTGCACAGCAGGAAGACAATACACCAGGGGTGGGCAAACTACGGCCCGCGGGCCACATCCGACCCGTGGGACCGTCCTGCCCGTCCCCTGAGCTCCTGGCTCGGGAGGCTAGCCCCAGGCCCCTCCCCTGCTGTCCCCCCACCCCCACCCCCGCAGCCTCAGCTTGCTCACTCCGCCACCAGCGCAATGCTCTGGGCGGTGGGGCTGTGAGCTCCTGGGGCAGCGCAGCTGCAGAGCCCGGCCTGACCCGGTCTCTGTGCTGCGTGGTGGCAGCGGCGTGGCCTGGCTCGAGCCGGGTGGTGTGGCTGTAGTGCTGCCAGCCACCGGTGCTCCAGGCAGCGCGGTAAGGGGGCATGGAGCAGGGGGGGTTGGATAGAGGGCAGGGGAGTTCGGGGTGGTGGTCAGGGGACAGGGGTGTGGATAGGGGTCGGGGCGGGGGGAATAGAGGGTTGAATGGGGATACGGGTCCCGGGGGGGGCAGTAGGAAGGATGGGGGTTGGATGGGGCGGCAGGGGGCAGGCAGGGGACAGGGAGAAGGGGTGGTTGGATGGGGCAGGGGTCCCGGGGGGGCCGTTAGGAATGAGAGGAGGGGCTGGATGGGGCGGTGGAAGTCCGGGGGCAGTCAGGGTACAGGGAGCGGGAGTGTGTGGGTGGGGCAGGGGTCCCAGAAGGGCCGTCAGGAAACAGGGGGGTTGGATGGGGCAGGAGTCGGAGGGGGGGGCAGATAGAAGGTGGGGGCTGGCCACGACCCCCTCCCCAACCGGTCCTCCATACAATTTACGAAACCCGATGCGGCCCTCAAGCCAAAAAGTTTGCCCGCCTCTGCAATACACTGTCTATTCCTAGCAAGTGTGAAAAATCTGGCAGCCTCACCGATGCATCCAGGTATAAACTCTTAACACATCTGTTTCTTTGACATGTACAAGATAGTTAATTTCACACAGAAAGTGCTGACATTTCACAGGGAAGCTGACAGAACACTATTTATATGTATGGCTTTTAAGATCAAAACAAGCAGAAGTTGTTGTAGGACTTGGAGCTCTATCATACAACCCTGTTCTCTGACTCCAAACTCTTATTACATTTTCAATCTGTTCCTCCAGTTAGATCTTGAAGTTTTTTTTTTTTTTAATTTACTTGATGCATTCTATATCCGATATCAGGCAGGATTGCTGTACAGCAACACGAACTCCAGCTTACTCTCTTTACTCGGCACAGAGCAACATGAGAACATCAACACTGGGCAGGAAGCAGAGCTCTGGGATTGTTTTAGACGTTAGCACTAATGACGAATCCCATTTTGTTCCCTAACATTTCATTACTGACATTTAGGTGGGTCAGAAGTTGACTTTATGCGGTTCAATGGGTTAATACACCAGCTTCTCATCCCTAAAAACTTCAAATCAAACCACAGTTTAGATCACAAAAGAGAGAGTTTGGTTGTCTCAATAGAGGTCCTACAGATTGCGATGACTGGCAGGCTGTGCCCTCAGGATGTTCTGAAGACAAGGATAGCAGGGGTGAGCTTTTTTTGTTTTTGGTACGTCACAACTGAGGCACAGTGACAGTTTTTGGTACGTGTAAGGAAGCAGTTTTCACAGTGTTTTCCCAGCAACCACTCTGGCTCTGAAAGCTACTAAGAGAAGCTGGGAACTGAAATGACAACCTTGCAAGAGCCAGAGTTTATTTTTCAGTACTTGTCCTACATGTGGCTCTTATTCCCAGATAAAGCCTTAGCAGCTGAGATCACCTGAGGTGCTCAAACTTATGATTTCCCGGTGTCAGCTTCACGTGGGCAACAAAGTAGACTGTGCTCAATGAGGGCATTTGTTACCAGCCTCACTTCAAAGCTGATGTTTAGGACATGTTGTAGTTATTCTCCAAGTCTTTTCCAGAGGGAAGGATTAACAGGTGAGTGGGGCTGATAGGAGTGTGGCGTAGATAGGGTAGGAACTGAGAGAATACGTCTTACTTTTTGAACCATGGTCTGCATTATTGATTTAGACTAGGGCTGCCAAAGAAAGTGAGTTACTTATCTACCTTATGCTCCGTTTAAAAATCCCAGTCTCAGTTCTGTAACCTTTATAAATCTGGCCAAAGCATATGATAAGGGCATTTTTAGAAATTAAAACAGTGATTTATGTTTACATCTTTCCAATAGACCATAAACAGAACTATCTGGAGCCAATAAAATATTTGTTTGCAGGAAGGGTTCAATAGGCCCTGTAAGAACAGAACATACACTGAAGTTGTTACTACAGAGTTGTGTGTTCTACAAAGCCTACTGCAAGCGCTTCAGGACAGGTAGACTCTTCTTTTATCTTTGTAGAGCTGATCAGGAGATCTGGGTGCTAATGTAATTGCAATGGTTAGCAGTTATAAATACTACTTCTAATAATTCTGTGTCAGGCAAATCCTTTTTTTAAAAACTCATTTAGTCTTATAAAAATGCATCCTACATAACAATCACCTGTACAATGGATACATACAAAACTGTTATGGACTGAACTAACCTAAAATTCACTGTCACCTCCACAGGTTTCATGAGGACTAATAACTTCAACATTTCAACACACCTCTTCACAGAAGCACGGCAAGATAGTAAGCCTAACTGCTTACCTTAAAAGGTCAATGATCCAACACTATCAAATTCAAGCATTTTTTTGGGGGGTGGGGGTGGGGGTGGGCGCATGCTGAAAGCTAAAGTTTCATATATGTTTCAAAGTCACGTTTAAGTCATTTGAATACACCTGCTTATAACTTTTGGTTACATTTGGAGAAGAACTCTAATTTGTTTGAACACAACAATCTTCTGTTGTTTTCTCATACTTACAAACAGTTTGCTCTTGTATATGTATTTGCTCCTCCCACTTGAGTCCTTCACCTCTTTACTGAAGACCAAGGACATCTCAAAGAGGAAGAGATGCCTCTCACGACCCTTTCGGATTAAAGTTTTGGGGTCCCAAACTTGGAAGGATTCCTGAAGGATGAGCTCTCCCTGAGATTCAATATTCTCATCAAACCCTGCAAAACAGGCAAAGATAGACAATGTGAAGCTGAAAAGTAAAAGTGAGAACACTAAAAACATACCATGCCAAATCATTCCCTCACCCCTCCGTTTTCAAATATATTTAGTATTTTTAACAGAGAGGGTTCCAGGAGTCGCTATTCTGATCCCAGTTGGTTTAGGGTATGCTTTACAGTTCAAAACCAAATCATAACTCAAGTTTATGTTTTGATTCAACAGCTGAAAAGTCTTGTGAACTGTTCTGGTAAGATTCTGGCTCCAAATGACGTGTCTCCAAAATCAGCTTCTCATGTACATCCCCTATCATGAAATTAAACTTTTCTTACAAGGTTTCTGCCACCTTAGTCTGAAGTCTTACAAAACTATTTTGTCTTGTGAAGGTTTGGACTCATCTAAAGCCAAATGAGACTTTAATCTCATGTGATAGAAAGCCAGGACAACAGGTGTCGGTTTTAAATTAGCGAATACAAATTTGCATATTCTTTCCCCAAAAGCCCAACTAGATTTATTCTAACTATAATTCTAGGGAACAGATGGACCTGAGCCACATATTCTAGTTGGGATCCACACCTCCTCAGATTTCAGGGTACTCACTCTGAGCACCATCAGGCTCATCTCTCTTTCAAAAGAGAGGAATGTAATTTGAAGAAAGACTTCTGGCCTTCAAACACCAGTTTCCTTCTAAACTAATTTACTTTTACCCACTATAAATTGGCAAGCACAATTTAACCAGTGCACTTCTCAGTCTAGACCAATGGCATCTTTTCTTTTCTTAATAAAAGAAGTTCAGTAACTGCTATAGAAAGAATACAGACCTCAGAAATCTCTCACAGGTCACAGCAAAAGTGGTAGTAAAGTCCCCTCGCCATCATTTAAGGGTGAATTTACATTTACTCTATGTTTAAGTGTAAAACATTATGTAACAAAGCTGCAGATAAATGGGGCCTCGACTACCATGACAGTATAAAACAATTTACATAGAGAAATACGTAGAGAGTAGAATACTAGAGAGTATCTTAGAGAAGTTGGATTAGGATGTTCATTTAGGAGTCTCTTGAGACAAAAGGAAACGTGTTCACTCACTAGATTCATCAACCAGGGAATGACTCATAACTATGCACATATCCTTTGTGAAAGAAATAGAATATTCTGTAGAGTCAGTCTAGATACTCTTAATGGTAAAGGATGAACATTTAGCATTCAAGCTCACACTGCACGGGACTTTGGGACTGATCCTGCAAACTTTCATTCACTTTAGTAGTTCCATAAGAATATGGAGAGGTGGGGGATTTTCAGAAGTGACACTTAGGAGCACATGTCCTACTGAAAGTCAATGCATGGTGTGCTCTAATCTAAGTCACTCAGGAGATTTTGGAAATCCCATCTGAAGTGTTTTCAGTTTCCTATCACAGGGCCCAACCCTGCAGTCACAATAGTTTCAAAGAAAATGTAAATATTAGCCAAAACATCTGTGATAAATCCTTTATATTCAACTTAAATCTGCTGTGGTCATGCTTTTAGCTCTATTTGTGATGGGTTGCTTTATGAAACAGATTTTCCATCAAAGTTATCAAGTATATGGGGGATCTTTTTATGCAATACATGATCATGTACAGACTATGAAATGGTTTTGGGTCAAATGTCAATTATAAGCATATGTAAGCAATTGAATCCAAACTTAAATGCCTGCTATATTCTGCGTGTACAAGATTGTGCTTTTCTGGCTATGTCTAAGACTAAATTGGTTTATGTTGCCCTTTTTTTTTTTTTTTTTTTAACTGCCAAAAGATGTACTGTTTTTGAACCGGAAGTCAGTTATGGAACAGACAGCATACAGATGTGAAAGCAACGACCTTCCTGGAGATTATTACTTGATACATAGACCAGAACCACCTCTGGTGGATTTACATACTTTTTTGAACTTTCTTCAGACAAAAAAAGTTATGACACTGGATGAGAAATGCAGCTGAGGTTATTTAGCTCAAGGTGTGTTCCCTTAGAATAGAACTGAATCAAATGTTTCAACTGTAAGTACGCTGTAAATAGCTGTATGTCGAGATGTTAGAACATCCTTTTTTTAATCAGATATATTACTATAATTTTTGTCATCTGCTACCTTATAGTTTTATAAAAAGAAATCATCCAAATAACTCCATGCCAAAAAGATGAAAGCATATCAATGTCTTTAGAAAGTGAAAGCAACTCTAAACAAATTTCCACTTTTCCCTCAGATCTCTTTGACTTCAGAGAATATTTTAATGTGAAGTTACAGAATTTATTACACAAGTGTACGGTAGCAAGTTTTAGTTCTACCTTCCAGCATGCTGAGGTGCATGGCATCATTGGCTCGCTTTGGCACACTAAGCATCACCTCCAGACCATCTTTAATCTCGCCTTTACCTTCTTCACAGCAGGTGAGCAGCTCCTGCAGAAGATCAACAGGCCACTATTAGCATAACATCTGTTTCTACAATACAACGAAACAAAAAAGTAGCATTTGCTCTGGTGACCAAAGGCCTCGTCCTGCCAGGTGCCCTTCAGCTCCTCTCAGACTGCAAGTGGCAGTGTAGCATACTCTATGCTTCGCAAGATCAGGCCCTGAAGGGGTAGCAAGAGATTCTATTTGATTTGTTAACCATCCATACGTTTTAAAGTAAGCTGATCCAAATATTAATCAGTTTTAAAAATGAGTGTGTTAAAGAAAGAAGCTTTTGAAAAAGTGATTAAATTTTTAATGTCCAACGTTCACTAAAATGTTAGTATACACTTGCAAATCTTCCAAAAGTTATAGGTTTGCTTGAATATATATGTGTACATGACGTACTGGTCGAAGAGATGTGCTTAAGGACTAGAAACTAGGGCCACAATCCTGCATTCTGATTTAACAGTATATATCCTGGTGCCCCTGGGGACTCCCACTTGACTTTAGCATGAAACTGCCTGGGTCCACATTCCTGCCTTAGAATCAAGTACTGTCTCAGGCTAGGTCTACACTACAGCGGTGTTCCGACCTAAGATACGCAACTTCAGCTACGTGAATACCGTAGCTGAAGTTGCGTATTTTAGGTCGGCTTACCTGGTGGTGAGGACGGGGGAAAGCCGACCGCTGCCGCGCTGCCGCCGACTCCGCTACCGCCTCTTGTCGAGGTGGATTTCCGGAGTCGACGGCAGAGCGATCAGGGATCGATTTTACCGCGTCCTCACGAGACGCGGTAAGTCGATCCCCGATAAACCGATTGCTACCCGCCGGATCGGCGGGTAGTGAAGACGTAGCCTCAGTGTCAGACATTCTTGTGCCACACTGCAGCAGCCTCTAAACAACACAGGTCTAAAACCCATCTTTCCTTAGCTGAAGAGGCATATATGCCTCATCAGGTATCCAAGCCAGGCTCCACATTCGCTACAGCATGTTTCTAGAACTTCTTTTCCCTTCAAAAAATAAAACTGCCTTATCGCTCATTCTTAGCCTATTTTTGCTACTTCATTTTTTTAAAAAACTGTCAATAGAATAAATGCAAGAAACTAGAGTAAAAACAGACTTCAGAGTTACGTGGCTTTAGCACTAAAAGCAGAAGATACTTCAAGAACTTTCTGGGCATAGGTTCTGAAAGAGACAAATTAAAGCAACTTGCCAGAATCTGGGGGAGTGACCTTTCCATCTGAAATTTCAACTGCCTCTAATTTGTTGGCTCTCTCTACTCTTCCTAGTTGCTTTTATTTATGCTCTTTCACATCTGCCAAGTCTCCTTCCTTTGCCTTTTTTTTCTCTTTAAAATGCTGTTTTAATCCCTTACTTCACTGTGCAGGTGGCAGCAAACAACAGTGTATTAGAAGACTGCTCTCTGAAGCATATAATCAGGATGCTTCACTTTGCTGATGTCTGCACAGCGGAACAGAATGAAATGGCAGGGGAGAGGCACAATTTAAATAAACTGTATAGGGAGTGGTGCGGAGGTAAGACAAACGAACAGCAGGAGATAATGCATGAATAATCGGAAACACAAAATAAACATAATGTCCTCAGTTGGACACTTTCCTTAAAACTGTCAGCCCTAATGTTTTCCAGCCTTCCTTCAGCACATCATCCCACATTATGAAGTCCGGAGACAGGCCAAAATGTATGCCACAGCCTTGATTTACAACCCAGTCTGATTTCAGGCACAGGGAAGGGGGTTGGATTAGGAACTCTGCATCTACACCCACTTGTGTATTTGGTACTGGTCGCTTCCAAAAGTGAAAAGAGCCTATTTTCAAATTCTGGTCGAGATACAGGCAAAATCTCATGAAAACAGCTAATCTAGGCACTCTGACCAGTCCAGATGAAAGACAGTGTCCAGTTGTTCTTTGGACTCTGCCACTTTAGGCTGAAATTTCATGAGAAAAGCTTGGCACTTTTGGCACCATCAAATCTGGCTTCAAAGAGTCCTAGGCTGGACTCTAACTCAGGGTTTGTCTTCACTACCGGGGTAAGTCAATCTAAATTATGCTACTCCAGCTACGTGAATAACATAACTGAAGTCGATGTCGACTTCCCTTACTCTTCTCCGGTCGACTTCCCTTACTCTTCCTGGGGAGCTGGAGTGCCGGAGTCATTCGGAGAGTGCTCTGCCATTGATTTAGCGGGTCTTAACTAGACCCACTAAATCGACACCAGCTGCATCGATTGCAGCAGCGTCGATCTCCCCCTAGTGAAGACCAGTCCTCAAACTTAAGTTCAAGCCTGACCCAGCTCGCAATACTGCCACTGCATTCCCTCACTAGTTAAGAAACAACTATAAGTGGAGAGGGTCATTTAGTCCTAACTTTCAATTTGTTTTTATTTTTATTTCTTCTCCTGGGGACATGGGCTGGTCCACATTTTTGTCCCCCTCCAGCCTCTCACAGTATCCCACAATGCACCAACACCCTTTAAGCTACAGGTAACTGAACAGAAATATGGAGGATGTCAATGCCACTAGGGGGATGAAGTGGCTGCTTGTGGGTAGTGAGGCATATTCTACTCACAAAGTTACTGCTTTGTGACTCACTGGGGTCATGAAACTAGGCGGCTTCCTTGTCAGTGCATGTCACCAATCAACTCAGGCACCAGGCTGCCCCACAACTTTTGTATTAATCCATAATTTTGGCAATGTTTATATTTAAAATTAAGTTTTGAAACTAACAAGTGACACTTTCTAAACACACATCTGTTTAGATCAATATTGTAAATTAAATAATTATCAGGATTATGGATTTAATTATTTTTTTCCACTGGCAGAGGAGACGGAGGATTTCACATTCAATATAAAATGAGATGTTAGTTTCCACCTGTTGTGACCTGAAATGGCCAAGCTATTAAACATTTAAGAAGAATAATAAGGAATATCTTATCAGTACATAGGCTGGCAATCAAATCAAAGGGCAATTTTAGCTAAACAGAGAAAAAGTTAACATCTAATTTTGAACTTGTTAAGCACACAAAACCCAGAATACCCTAGAGTATTTAAAACTGCAAATACAGTACATTGCTCAAGTCTCATAAGCACTGCCCTGGAGTCCAAAGTGTTCTCTGTCCATTGTCAAATGCTTCTTTTGCTTAATTGTAAGCTCTAATTTACCCCCATCTTGTGGTAGTAATAGGTGTCTATTTGTGTTTTAGTATTCGCAATGTCATTGTCTAGATAATTTTATACAGTGTTACATAAAAATCCATAGCCCAGTGGTTTTCCAGACATTCTTAATAGTATATTAAACCATTTAAAAATATTAATACAGCTAGAGGCTTATGAGACTTCATTCTAGAAGCTATTTCAACATTATCATTCATAAACTCTTGGGATGGACATTAGCTGCTCATTTTTTAACTGGAAAAGCCAAAAGAGTATTTTTAAAATTAAGAGTAGGATAACTAGGGCAAGTATATATGTGTCATATTTGATTTACAGGTGTCTGAATAGAAAATTGCTTATTTAGGACAATTTTTCATTTTTAAGCAGTTTCTTACAGAAGATGTTACTGCAGTTCCTGAGGCTCACTGAAAACCTGCAGCATCAGGCCTTATGCAAGTAACAGTCGTATTGATTATGATGGGGTTTTTGCCTGTATGAGAACTGCAGGATCAGACATCCTAAAACTTTAAAGTGATACCTACCTTTAAGAGAAGCTGATATTTTGTTATCCTCTGGACAGGTTTGATAAGGTAAGAGGAGATGGAGTTGGCCAATCCATGTCGCTGTTGTATTTCCTGTATTAAACAATGACAAATTTGAGTGTCATGTGTATTAACAATAGTAGGTTAGCCAGCTACAAGTGTTACATTTGATACAGTACCTGTCCTTTCCATTGTAATGGGCAAAGAAAAAAGGATGGGATAGCAAGATTTTCAAATCAAAGCATATTATATTTTGAGTCCATCTGCTCCCCCTTCTATATAAAAATTCTTTTAACTTCCTGGCCAACTGTCATCAAGCTTTTAAAAAGGACCTACATCTGAATAGCAAAGACTCTGGATCTGAAACACTGAGTTTTTAGGCATTTTAACTTTGATAATTATTTCCTAAGTTGCTTTGGGTAAACAGGGAAATGCTTTTGGCTGTGATGATATTGTCTGGCAATAGCCAACGCCCATTTGGGAACAGATTTCACACTGGGGTTTGCTAATTTAAGTGTAACCAACTCCGGGAAGCGTGTTTCATTAACTGCTGCTACAAGGCCAGCAGAGGGAGCACGAAGTGTAATTTACTGACTACTTACCAAAAGGGAAAGAGCTCAGCAATAGTAGGCCAGATTTTTAAGAGGAAAGCTGAGTATTTGCATCGAGGACTTTCTTCCATTCTACTAGAACAGTTATAAAAGTAGGCTAATTAAGAACTTCAAACACTGAATGTTTAACTGATTGGTTGTGTCAATTTGGCACAAAACTTTAATACAATTCACACCCACAGAGTAGTTGTACTCATTTTTAAGTAGCAAATTATCTACTGAATCCATGAGTTGCGAAACTATGATTGTAATGCAGTCACACACACGGCAATAGGTACAGGCTGTGTACTAAATATGAAGTCAAGTATGTTTTTAGTTTGAAGCTGATTTCTTGAACAGACTCAGAAGCATAAGGTAGTGCGCTTTTAAGGAAGTCGTAGGTTTGAGGTTTTATACAGTTGCAAACAGCATCTCTATAATATACAATGCAGTCTTAGCTTCTATATATATTTAGCTATGAGTGTTACATGCATGGGTGTTGTGTGCATATAGGTACTAAGTGTGCATTCATTTGTATACACACACTTTTTACATCAATATTAGTTAAAATAAATAAATAAATAAATAAAATTAGTGGAGATATCCTATCTCCTAGAACTGGAAGGGACCTTGAAAGGTCATTGAGTCCAGCCCCCTGCCTTCATTAGCAGGACCAAGTACTGCCCCAGATCCCTAAGTGGCCCCCTCAAGGACTGAACTGACAACCCTGGGTTTAGCAGGCCAATGCTCAAACCACTGAGCTATCCCTCCCCCCATAATTAGTTGCCTAATTACACATTATATAGGATTATTTGGTCATCTCTGACTAGTTTTCTCTCCCAACACAGCTCTTCATTTTCATCTATTAGAAATGCAGCATGCGGAAGTCCAACGTGATGGGTCTTTAAAACGTTCATACTGTTGGTGGCATTAGTGAAAGTTCTTTGGCATACAGTTCAGATACCTGTAAAGATTTTTTAGAGGTGATTAAATCACAAGCCCCTTTTTTCTCCTCTTAACACAAACAGTTCTTCCCAGTATCCATTTCACTAGTGATGGCTCAGAGTACATACTTAGGAGGGAGCACCATAATTGATGTTTAAATACACATGCGCTCTTTAACCAAGGGCACATTTGGAAAGGGAATCTTAGTCCTCTAATGTGGCAACTATGAGTTCTCAAAGAAGTTCAGTGCTGAAAGTCCAGAAGTAGTTGCGGCCTTTTTGCCCTTGTCTCGAATGGACATCATATATACCTGGTAAGGAACTTCCGTATAAAAGCAAGTTGTGCTATAATTAGATTAGCAGCTGTGATGGGTTGTATGAACCCCTCATTGGGCAGGAGGGGGTTAAGGTGCTCTGGGCTAAGAGTTAGTTGCTTATGCTAGCAACAAGAAGGTGGTCAGGGGAAGTGTGGGACCCTTACTGAATGAGGGAGACAACCTAGTGACAGATGATGTGGAAAAAGCTGAAGTACTCAATCCTTTTTTTTGCCTCGGTCTTCACAGACAAGGTCAGCTCCCAGACTGCTGCACTGGGCAGCCCAGTATGGGGAGGAGGTGAGCAGCCCGCAGTGGTGAAAGAACAGGTTAAGGACTATTTAGAAAAGCTGGACATGGACGAGTCCATGGGCCCAGATCTAATGCATCCAATGGTGCTGAGGGAGTTGGCTGATGAAATTGCAAAGCCATTGGCCATTATCTTTGAAAACTCCCCCGGATGATTTGAAAAAGGCAAATATAGTGCCCATCTTTAAAAAAAGGGAAGAAGGAGAATCCGGGGAACTACAGCTCGGTCAGTCTCACCTCAGTCCCTGGAAAAGTCATGGAGCAGGTCCTCATCCATTTTGAAGCACTTAGAGGAGAGGAAGGTGATCGGGAACAGTCAACATAGATTCCCCAAGGGCAAGTCAAACCTGACCAACCTGATTGCCTTCTATGATGAGATAACTGGCTCTGTGGATATGGGGAAAGCGGTGGACGTGATATATCTTGACTTTAGCAAAACTTTTGATACGGTCTCCCACAGTATTCTTGCCAGCAAGTTAAAAAAGGTATGGATTGGATGAATCGATTATAAGGTGGATAGAAAGCTGGCTAGATTGTCGGGCTCAACGGGTAGTGATCAACGGCTCGATGTCTAGTGGGCAGCCAGTATCAAGCGGAGTGCCCCACGGGTTGGACCTGGGGCTAGTTTTGTTCAACATCTTCTTAATGATCTGGATGATGGGATGGATTGCACCCTCAGCAAGTTCATGGATGACACCTAGCTAGGGGGAGAGGTAGATATGCTGGAGGGTAGGGATAGGGGCCAGAATGACCTAGACAAATTGGAGGATTTGGCCAAAAGAAATCTGAGGAGGTTCAACAAGGACAAGTGCAGAGTCCTGCACTTAGGACGGAAGAATCCCATGCACTGCTACAGGCTGAGGATCGACTGGTGAAGTGGCAGTTCTGCAGAAAAGGACCTGGGGATTACAGTGGAGAAGAAGCTGGATATGAGTCAACAGTGTGCCCTTGTTGCCAAGAAGGCTAACGGCATATTGGCTGCATTAGTAGGAGCACTGTCAGCAGATCGAGGGAAGTGATTATTCCCCTCTATTCGGCACTGGTGAGGCCACATCTGGAGCATTGTGTCCAGTTTTGAGCCCACCACTACAGAAAGGATGTGGACAAATTGGAGAGAGTCCAGCGGAGGGCAACGAAAATGATTAGGGGGCTGGGGCACATGACTTATGAGGAGAGGCTGAGGGAACTGGGCTTATTTAGTCTGCAGAAGAGAAGAGTGAGGGGGGATTTGATAGCTGCTTTCAACTACCTGAAGGGGGGTTCCAAAGAGGATGGAGCTGGGCAGTTCTCAGTGGTGGCAGATGACAGAACAAGGAGTAATGGTCTCAAGTTGCAGTGGGGGAGGTCTAGGTTGGATATTAGGAAAAACTATTTCACTAGGAGGGTGGTGAAGCACTGGAATGCGTTACCTCGGGAGGTGGTGGAATCTCCATCCTTAGAGGTTTTTAAGGCCAGGCTTGACAAAGCCCTGGCTGGGATGATTTAGTTGGGGTTGGTTCTGCTTTGAGCAGGGGGTTGGACTAGATGACCTCCTGAGGCCTCTTCCAACCCTGATATTCTATGATTCCAAGAAGGCAGGAGGACCTGAGCTGAGCCCGCACTGAGCCAGGAAGTGGAGGAGCTACAGCACCCAGCAACTGCAAGCAGGGCTGGAAACTCAGAAGGTGAAAGTGACCCAGGGAAGCCAACTTGAGGCAGACATCAGATGCCGACAGGTGTGCCGCCGAACCAGCCTCGCAGGGCCCTGGGTTGGAACTTGGTGGAATGGGAGGGACCGGGTTCCCCTACCCCACTCTACCCTGTATCCACTAGGAGGAGCTGCTGCCCTGAGAACTGTATCCACTCAGCGGAGTTGCGTGAACCACACCCATTAGGGGCAATGGCCACTGTAGACGCTAATCACAAGGCAGGAGACCCTTTCCCCCTGACTACAGCAGCTTTGAACAGTACATTGAACAGAAATAAAAGCAGGTTACTGTTAATTTACATTTTCATGCTGCAAGTCCGAGATTTTAGTCTTGATTCAGTACAATCAGACTGAACCAAATTCATCATTGTTAGAATACGCAGCATCTGTCTCTAAAACTGTAGTTTTATATCTGAGTTTTAATTGCTAAAATCTGTTTGCATTTCAAAACAGACATGCAACCGTTGCTATGTTTCCAATTCCTTTGATAGGTGATAGCGACTGTTTAAAATGATATTTTAATTGATTTTTAGGGGACTAAAATAGCAATAAAATACTATATATTAGACACCAGAGACATAAAAGTTCTTAGATTTAACTGACATTATGTTGTAGGATTATTAATTATGGAGAGTTTATCTGGTGTTACTAGTAGATGTCCAATTTCTTAGGCATTCCAATGTAATTAGAACTGCATGATTAAAAACAACCCATCCATATTTTTAATATATGCACAAAAAGTCTGGTACTTACATCAAAATATGCCCCTGCATGCTCCAATATCAGCTGGGTAGAATCTGGCTTATTTTTACAATACGTAACATACATTTGAAACTTGTCTGCCTGCAGAACAAAATGCAAATTTAAACAGCTTATGAAAGAGCATTTCCACTGCCTGAAACCAGTCAAACTACTGGGGATTCTTTTCCAATTCAACCCAGCATTGTGAGAAAATACACAACATAATTAGAGCCCTGGGCGGATACAAAATTTGTATCCACATCCAATTCACAATCCGCAAACGTGGTCAGTGGATATCCATAGATTTGCAGGGCTCTAAACATATTACAATCAAAATAATAAAAAGGAATGAGAAAGTCAATTTATAGTTAAGTGAGCTATGTTCTGCCCTCAGGTGTATGCACGCAACTGAAACTGATTTCAGTGAGAGCCATGTTGTTGCATTTGTTGGCATTTTTAATTAAAGTCAATAGTTTGTTTACTTCAAGAGGAAGAAAAGTACTTGTACAAATCCACTAATTAAGAAAAAGACTACACAAAGCGAAAGCCTCCATCTCCTTCTGCGCTCGATTTCATTTGTTACTTCTAACACCAACCATCATTTCATTACCCAAGTTACGAAGCAGTGCCCAACATCTTCTGGTAACTGTTCGTATTTCTCCAGCTCCTTTAGGAATATGCTATGGGTAGAGAAAAACAGAACATCATTAAAAGGAACATGGCATGTTTTCATTAGGGCAGCTAATATTGATTTAGAGTTTGAGCAGATATATTGTAAGAGGATCTTCATACCAACAGCATGGTGTGACAACTGGATCAAATACTATGAATGGATGAGAATCTGGGGTGCCAGGACCCTATAAATATCACATCTCAAACAACATAGATTTTAAATGGTTGGTGATAAATACTGTTGTATTGAGTTTTTTACTGCTGTATTATCTACTCACTGTAGTAACTGTTGCTGTTCTCTTCAGAAAGGGGCTAACTGGTATCCTCTCACCTAAGCCCCACGAATGGTTTAATTTTTAAAATGTCAGTAAAAAATAGAAAAAGAGATGGAGGCCAGCCTCTGCAATAAAAGCCTTTTCCCCCTCCCCCAAAAAGCCAATTAATGAAGGGAAAAAACCTCTGTTATCTATACCCATAATAGATTACTTATGAAGTTATTTAAGGGCAGCGACAAGGTGCATACAAAGTTACCAACAAGTGGCTTTCTTTGCAAGACTATCCCTTTCACAGCCAAAATAATTTGTTATTGATCTAAGTTCCTAGTATGAATTTGATTAAGTCTGAGATTTTTCACTACTGATATGGCATAGTGCACACTGCTATTGTTCCTTAGGGATCATTAGAGAATATAGCTGTTGTGAATCCCTCAGATAATATACAAAATGGTAGCTCTGCTAGACATATTTCTATTACAACAGCATGTAAAAGCACCCATCAGGGTCTGGATGGTGGTAAGCCAGGCAACAGACAAACACACAGGCTTACATGGTCTGTAACTCAAAAAGATTTCAATCGAACTTAACACAAGATGCAGTAAGTGCATGTAACAAACAATAGGAGATAAAATGTGAGTAAGACTAGCTAAACATAATGCTTCTGAATCATTAAGAGTTAAAAAAAGGTATACTGAACCAGTGTCCGTATCAAACTCCTTGTAACCAGTGCTAATGGCAACCCTTTTTGGCAATTTTCACAGAAGGGCCAAGGAACAACAGAAAAAGAGACTGAACTACCCCCTCCCACTAGCAGTGGTTTCTAAAAGTCAGAAATGAGCCCACTGGCAGGTGAACATGATGAGCCTGACACAACCACTGCCTGTGCTAAGTAGAATCAGTGGTGTCCGTCTCTTCAAGGCAATCAACCAGTCTAGAACTTTACTTAAGCGTTCAAATTGCTTCTTAAAAAATTCAAGATTAGAAGACATATCTGGGCCACAGAAGGGCCAGAGAATGGAATTATATAGATATTTACTGAAAAATGCTATCATTGAAGCAGGTAATTCGACAATAAGGGAGACACTTTAGCTACTGCTGTGGCAAAACGTCCTTTATTCATTTATATACACAATATTTTGACTGGGAAATACCTGAAGTGATCACCTAATCTTTACTAGTAAACATGGGCATGGAAGCTAAGTTACTCACTTATTATGGAACTCATAGATTTCCTGCATGTTTCCGAAGATAATGTGTTCTTTGTTTACAATACCAGGTGGGATCTCCTCAACGCCACTGGTCATTTCCCACAGATACGTCTGGTCAGAAGAAAAAAGGCACATGAAAAGCAATCAAGTTTCCAAACAGTAGCAGTTCCTGACATTTGTAAGTAAACATTATCACAGGGAGAAGTACAGGAAAGTACAACTTATAATTGATTTTGGGGTATGGAGCTTTACACACTGTGCATCTTAAAAAATGTCACGGCTTGAAAGTGACAATCAAATATGCTCGAGACTTAATCTTTTAAAATACGCAATATTCCTGACAACAAACAGTGCTTCAGGGTAGTATACCAAGGTCATGTTTGGATTCCAGAAGTTTTCATTTTGTGTAATAGCTACTGCTGAGCATTACTTGCTCGAGTTTAACAATTACTGGGCACTTTTCCATGGAACCTCTCTGAATTTCTATTCAAAGAGAGTCAGCCAGTCCCGAAACATGTGATAAACACAATGAAAGAATTAACACAGGCTCATCTCTGCTACTAACAAAACAAACTGACCAAAAACCCAACAGAAGTGGACAGTCAGTTCTGAGACCGTTAAAATGTTTTCTATTGAGCAGAGCAATAAAGTGCTGTAAATGAAAATGAGCAAAAATAAAACACATAGGATAAATTCTCCATCGGCTGACACCTGGTGCAATTATGTCGACACTAGCAAGTTAGCAGGAGGCATAAGTAAGCACAGAATTTGGCCCTGTGATTATAAACTAACAACACTTGGTTGCTAAAGAAATGCAGAAGCAAAATGATATACATAATGAAACCTTGTCCCATAAAATATACACTTACATCCATACATTCCCGGAGGTCTCTTACGTAAGCCTTTTCTGTCTGAATTAGCTCAGCCATAATGAACCTTAAAAATGACAAAAGAATGAAAGATCAAATTGCAGCCTGCTAGATCACAGGACAATGCTTTTCCACTAATCAGAATATGCTCTCTCCATTGCAATGAACTTACTCTATTTCCAATATTACAAGAAAAGCATAGAAGAGCTTAATTAGCATCAGAAGGACTTTTTTGTTGGGGGAGGGGCTTCCAACACTAGCAAAGTTAAAATTGAAAAAAAAACAACGAAGCAAGGATTTTAAGACAATTAACAGAGAGAGAGAGAAAGGAGGATCCATTAGAAGCATGGGGATCCCATTCAACTGGTAAGAAATGAAGAGCAATAGCTGCTACTATTCATGAGCAGGAAAAAACTCTACATTTATGGAGTTGTGTTACTTATTTATTATTATTTTAACAGTCTTATTTTGCAAATACTTTATCCTCATTGCTACTATTTCCTTCCTTACCCACTTATTTTTTGTGAATTTTTCTGGACTTCTACCAATTCTTTTTTTTTTTTTTTTTAAATGATCCTCATTTTAGGCTTGGTTCTGAACACTCCCTAAACCAGACAGTGAAGTACCAAAACTGGAACAAGGCAATGAATAAGTCTGTGCAAGGCTATGGAAGGTACACTCTGGGTAGTACAGAGCTCTCCTTTGCAACATTCCTATTTAAAATGTTTTTCTAAATCTTGAAGTCAAAAATATGACAGTTGCTTCACTAACAGTGATTTATATATTTATATCTGTAAAGACTGCATTACTCTTTCCTGCGGGCAGATTTTCTCTTTTCTTCATTAAGCTCATGAGCAGCATCGCGCAGTTTCACCTCTGACCCAGGAACACTAGCTGGGATTATATCCAGCTGCAGGCTTTTGCTCTGTAATAAGGAGAAAAGGAAAAATGGTTAAGGGAGGAGAAAGGGGAAAAACAATGGCCAATCTGATCAGCTACAAGGAGCTATGTAAAAGCATTTGCTTATTCTCCTAAGAGTTCATGCAGAAATTTCACTCACCGATTTATTTGAATCAGAAGAAATCCCCAGGGCTTTTTCTAAAGAGGTCCTATATTTCTCCATGCGCAGAGAGAAGTCTCTGTACCTCTTGTCCACTGCTGTGACACATTTTTTAATCTCTGCTGCATGGGCATGCCCTTTTTCACAAAAGCCATCAGCCAGCTGTATCAACAGCTTCACCCTCTCTTTGGTTTGCTGTGAAAAACAACAGGAAAATACTGACAAGTAAAGTTACTGCCAAGTACCTGTAATGAGAGGGCTCGTTTTGTATAATTAATTACTAAAAACAAGTGGAGGGATGATGGAAGGTAACTGGCTCTCCCCTCTATCCCACCCAAGTGTTTTTAAAGCAGATACCATGATTTTTCCCCAAGGAACAGAAGATCAGCAAGTGCTGCCTGCTTCTTTATTATTTCAACAGCAGCAAAAAACCTCATGCTTTAACTTTTAGAAATTCTCTTGACTGGAAATAGAGAATATCAGGTCTGCAAGGTAAGCTTTTAGGGCAAGGACCATGTCTTCTCAGGTGTTTATACAGCTCCTGGCACTAAGGGGCTCCGATCCCTACTAAGGTCTTTAGGTACTACCACAATACAAACATTGGCCCTGATCCTGCAAAGACTTACGCTCATACTTAAGGACAATGCATCCTCCTGGCAAATGGCTGCAAAAGTGTAGGGGAGTTGCGCTAAAATTGTACTTTTAAATGCACACTCTTTATCCACTGTCTGTCACTGAAAATAATAGAGGCAGCATTGTATGGCAGGAGTGCAACGCTAAGAGGGCTGGACCAAGTCTTTGAGGGGACAGTGCGTTTGGTGTGCAGAGGCATGCTTAGTCCTTCCATATACAATGTGACCAGAGTCTCTCCTTCATTCCTCCATTTCCATCTGTCTCCAGCATGTAGCTTCTTTTGACCACCACCTCTTCTCCAGCTTGTGGCTCCACGAGTTTTCCACACAGGGCCGAGAGCCAAGGGGTGGGGACAAAGCGCAACTTTTTAAATGGGGAGCAGGAGAGGGAACTTAGGGAAACCAATCCCTGCTGCAGTTACTGCCGGAGTTCAACAATTAATATGGAACAAAATGTCCCCTGCCTGGAATGTTAGGTTTGCACCTGTGATGCGGGGTCCCATGTGGCCACAGTGGGCAGAGAAGTAAGCCTGCCACTGCTAGAAACATTGCAGTACAATATGTTATTCTAGGTAAGAGCCAGACCTGAATGATTGAAGCTTTCATCTTGTGCTATCTTCTCATTAGTAAAGTGTTCAATATTTTGAAGCACACAAACTGGAACACAATAAGCCTTACTGCATTTTGCGAACATAAAATAAGATTTAAGAGTTGCGTTCCAGTCATCCATGATTGACCTGAAAACCAACCAAGCTGAGGACTCGAAAGGAAGTTATCTTTCTCCACTTTTAAGTGAGGTCACCACAGTCTTGTCAATGTAAGGTAACACCAGCAATTTTTTGTTTCATTTCATGTCAAGTGGAAACAGATAAGAAAGCCAATACAGCAAGGTGAAGCTGGCCATACACCTGCTGTTGCTCTTTATTTACCTTTGCAGTGATCTGAAATTCTTCATGTTCTTTTAACAGCTCTTGAGTGTGATGGATACTGGAACCAGTGGAGGTATGCGTGGATAAATAAAACTCTCCATTGTCATGGATCCATTCCAAAGCCTGAATAAAGCAAAAAACAATGAAGAGTAGAAAAGAAAGTAGCATAATACTTTTTCAATAGACACCAATTTAAGTACTCAAGATACATAAAAATACTTACATAATAAATGTACTAGACAGACCTATATTTCATTTTTATCCCTTCTACATTTCACCTGAAACAACTTTGAAATGGAGTTTATCTACCTGTAACTGGAAGTCCTTCAAGTTGTGTGATCCTTATCTGTAGTCCACATATGGGCACATATGCATGCCATGCCCGAGTCTGGAAATTCTAACAGACAGCATCAGTTGACCTGCACATGTGAAGTAGATCTCCTTGTACTCCCAATCGGGGGGTATAAGAGGCAGTGTGGGTTGACACCTCTCCAATTCCTCTTTTTACCACAAATCCAACAGGATCCGAAGCAGAGGGGATGTAGGGTGGGTAGTGGAATACAGATAGGGACCACACATTTTGAAGAATTTACAAGGTCGACTTGCAGTGAGTGAATGGCCTGAGTTTTTTAGAGAAGGAAATAGTCTAAAATGACTAGAATATCTGCAGTGCCTAGAGAAGGCTGATTATGCTGTACCCAAATAGAGAAATGTCTCCATTTAGCTAGGTAGCAGGCCCTAGTGGAATCTTTCCTACTTTGGGTAAGGATAGTCTGAATGGGTGCTGAACAGGAGCGTTCTATTTCCAAAGTCCATCCAAACACCAGGCCGTGAGATGGAGCAAGTCTGGGATGGGGTGTCTAATTCTGCCCCACTCCTGAGTTAGAAGGTCCGGGGAGGGGCAGATCCTGATCTGGGGGCCGGGCTGACATTTTGTGGAGCTCTGTGAACCAAAACTGCTTGGGCCAATAGGATGCTAGGAGAAGGACTCTAGCCCTGTTGCGGTGGATCTTTCTCAGGACCTATGGTAGCAGGGGAATGGGAGAAAACGCATAGTTGAGATCATATGGCCATGATAACAGGATTGTGACACCCTGAGAGCTGTGGCCCAGTCACCGTGGATAATACCATTCATGCCCACAATGTGGGCATCATCTTGGACCCTGCCCTCTCTCTAGATAAGACAGTTACCTTTTCCATAACTGGTGTTCTTCAAGATGTGTTGCTCATGTCCATTCCATATTAGGTGTGTGTGCTTACCACATGCACCGGTGCCAGAAGTTTTTCTCTCAGCAGTATCCGTAGGGGACCGGCTCTGGCACCCTCTGGAGTGGCGCCCGCATGGCACGGTATAATGGTTGCTGCCGGCTCCCCCCCACCCTCAGTTTCTTCTTGCCGGAAACTCTGACAGTGGGGAAGGAGGGCAGATTGGGGAATGCAGATGAGCAACACATCTCGAAGAACACCAGTTACGGAAAAGGTAACTGTCTTTTCTTCTTCAAGTGCTTGCTCATGTGCATTCCACACTAGGTGACACCCAGCAGTTCACGGATGCGTCGATTGCAACACAGCTCTGCCAAATCCAGCGTCATCTCTGGCCTGCTGAGTGATGGCATAATGAGCGGTGACCGTGTGGACAGAGGACCACGTTGCGGCTCTACAGATGTCCTGGATAGGGTGTGCCAGGAAGGCCGCCGAAGATACCTGTGCTCTCGTCGAGTGGGCTCTGACAATCAGCGGCGGCGGAACCCCCGCCAGGTCGTAACAGGTCCTTATGCACGAGAAAATCCAATTGGAAATCCTCTGCGAGGACACCGGAAGGCCCTTCATGCTATCGGCTGTAGCGATGAAGAGCTGAGTTGATTTATGGAAAGGCTTGGTACATTCTAAATAAAAAGCCAAGGCATTCAGCGCGTGAAGATGCCTCTCTTCACTGGTCTTGTGCGGTTTGGGACAGAACACCGGGAGGAAGATGTCCTGGTTCATATGGAAGTTGGATACGACCTTCGGCAGGAAGGCCGGGTGGGGCCGCAGCTGAGCCTTATCTTTGTAGAAGACTGTGTACGGCAGTTCTGAGGTCAAGGCTTTAATTTCAGAGACCCGTCTCGCCGACGTCACCACCATCAGGAAAGAGACCTTCCATGACAGGTGGGAAAAGGAGCAGGAATCCAGCATCTCAAAAGGCGTGCTGGTGAGTCTAGAGAGGACCAAGTTAAGATCCCACTGCAGGATAGGAGCCTGCACCTATAGGAAGAGTCTCTCGAGCCCTCTCAAGAATCTGACTGTCATGTCATGGGAAAACACCATCTGTCCTTGGATTGGTGTGTGAAAAGTGGAGATGGCCGCAAGATGCACACTAATAGAAGAGTGTGCCAGGCCCTGGATCCTGAAATGGAGCAGGTAGTCCAGGACAGCCTGTACGGAAGAACGCGAGGGAGAGGTGCCACGTTTGGATGCCCAGCGGGAAAACCTCGTCCACTTGGCCAGGTAAGTCAGTCTGGTCGAGGGCTTCCTACTCCCGAGGAGGACCTGTTGGACTCCTTCGGAACAGGTCCATTCCTCCGGGTTCAGCCACGCAGCATCCACGCTGAGAGGTGGAGGGATTTGAGGTTGGGGTGTAAGAGCTGACCGTGGTCCTGTGACAGCAGGTCCGGGTGGTTCGGCAGGGGCCAGGGAGGGGCCACTGACAAGTTCATGAGCGTGCCGAATCAATGCAATCACGACAACCTGCACTTTGTCTCTCTTGATCTTTGCCAGGACCCTGCTGATGATTGGAATTGGAGGGAACGCGTACATCAGGCTTCCTGACCATGACAGGAGGAAGACCTTGTCGAGAACAAAATCAGTGGCATTTCCTGTACTGTCTGGTAGTGAACAGGTCCACCTGGGGTGTCCCCCACCTTTGGAAGATCATGCAGGCTCTCTCTGGATGGAGCGACCATTCGTAGTGAGAGGAGAAGTCCCTGGTGAGCTGGTCTGCCAGCGTATTCTTGATGCCGGGAAGATGACAAGCTTCCAGGTGGATTTCGTGACTGATGCAGAAGTCCCATAGACAGAGAGCCGATGAGCGCGCTCCCCCTTGCCAGTTCTTGTAGAACATCGAGGTTGTGTTGTCTGTCAGGACTCGTACCACCTTGCCCGACAGGTGGGGCAGGAAGACTCCACACAGCAGCCAGACTGCTCGGAGTTCTTTGATGTTTATGTGCAACCTCGCCTCCTCCGGAGACCACATCCCCTGTGTCTGGAGGTCGCCGAGGTGCGCACCCCAGCCGAAGTTCAAGGCGGCCAACACCAACTTGATAGAGTGAGGGGGGTTGTCGAACGGAACCCCTCTACAGGACTGCCCCGCGGTTGGCCCAACATTGCAGCGAGGTAAGTATCACCTGGGGAATGGCAACAATCTTTTCCAGGGGGTCTCGGGACTGGGAATAGACTGTCCTCAGCCATTGTTGAGGGGCCGCATCTGGAGCCTGGCATGGCGGACCACGTAAGTGCACGCTGCCATGTGACCCAGCAGGTGCAGACAGACCCTGGCTGTAATTAAAGGGAACGCGGAGACTTCCGCGATGAGGTTTGTCAACACGTGAAACCTTTCCAGTGGCAGGAACGCCCTGGCGCAGGTCGAGTCGAGGACCGCTCCGATGAACTCTCCTCTGCACCAGCACTAACGTTGACTTTTTGTCATTTGCCAGAAGACCCAGAGAGCAGAACGTGGCTTGAAGCACCACAACATCCCTTTGGACTTGGGGCCTGGAGCTGCCATTGACGAGCCAGTCGTTGAGGTAGGGGTAGATCTAGATACCCCGGCGCCTGAGGTAAGCCATTACCACCGACATGCACTTGGTAAACACTCTTGGTGCTGTCGCCAGGCTGAACGGGAGGACCATAAACTGGTAGTGGTGGGGCCCCACTGTAAACTGGAGGAAGTATCTGTGTCCTTGAAAGATCGCTATATAGAAGTATGCATCCTTCAAGTTGAGGGTGGCATACCAGTCTCCCAGATCCAGGGAAGGGATTGATAGAGGCCGGGGAAACCATGCGGAACTTTAGCTTCTTTAGGTACTTGTTGAAGTCTCGCAGGTCCAGGATGGGCCATAGACCGCCCTTAGCCTTTGGGATTAAAAAGTACCGGGAATAGAACCCCTTGTTCCTGTACTTGAGAGGAACTTCTTCCACTGCACCCAGCTGCAGTAACCCTTTTACCTCCTGCACAAGGAGACTCTCGCGAGAGGGGTCCCTGAAGAGGGATGGGGAAGGCAGGTGGGGGGGGGGGTAGGAAAGAACTGGAGGGTATAACCTTGCTCCACTGTGCTGAGGACCCATTGGTCCGAGGTTATAGCGGTCCAAGCAGGGAGGAAAAGGGAAAGGCGGTTGTAGAACACTGGGACAGATGGCTCTGGGGAATAGTCTGGTAGGTTGCCCTCAGGCGCACCCTCAAAACGACTGTTTGGCCCCTTGCTTGGCACAGGTCGAGCCCAACTGGGCAGAGGGTGGAGGCTGGTGGCTCGGATGGCACTTTTAGCCGTTGGCTCGTTTGTGGAGCTGGTCCTGCCAAGGCTGACTACCCTGGCCCTGAGGCTGCTGTGGTTTGAACCGCTTACGCGCTTGGGCTGAGATGTAAAGACCTAGGGTTTTCCGGGTGGTGCGGGAGTCCTTGAGGCCATACAACTTGCAGTCTGTTTGCTCCACAAGTAGGGCTTGGCTGTCGAAGGGCAAGTCCTGCATTGACTGCTGAGCCTCAGAGGACAACCCAGAGAGGAGCAGCTAAGAGGCTCGCTGCATGGGGATAGCGGAAGCCATGGTGCCAGCAGCAGCGGCATCTGATGCTGCCAGGAGGGCCTCCCTGGCCGCAGTCATGCCCTCATTGAGGATCGCTCAGAACTCCTTCTTGGAAGCCTCAGGGAGCGATCCTTCGAACTGGGCCATGGCTTGCCACATACTGAAGTCATATCGACCAAGGAGGGCTTGGTGGTTGGCCACTCTCAGCTGAAGGCTGGAAGACGAATAAATCTTACGCCCAACGAGATCCAGCTTCCTCGAGTCTTTATTTTTGGGGGGTTGCCCCGAGTTGTCCTTGCCTCTCTTTGTGGTTAACCACCTCTACCACAAGGGAACTGGGGGCTGGGTGGGAGTATAAGTACTCATGTCCCTTGGTTGGCATAAAGTACTTCCATTCAGCCCTCTTAGTGATAGGCACCTGAAGTTGGCTGGGGGCTGCGCCACTATCCGGAGTCGCAGGCGAAGTATGGGATGGGCTGCACTGCTCAACTTGAGCTGGGGCCCGACTTCCCGAAGCGGGCGTTGAGCTGCCCGGCACGGGTCATGGCTCGCCCCCAGCCCTCTCCTTTCCCTTACGGGAGGTAGGAGAGCTTCCCCTCACAGTCTTTTTCAGCTTCTTGACCAGAGCCGCGGAGGGGGACCATTGCCAGCTCGTAGGCGGCACCGGCGGAGCACTGTGCACGGAGGCCGCGGTGCTCAGTGCGGAGTCAGATTACTACTCCGGTGCTGGAGTGAGGGCTGACTCCATTAGGAGCGCTTTCAGATGGATATCGTGCTCCTTCTTCGTCCCAGGTTTAAAGAACTTGCAGATATGGCACTTGGCACTTATGGGCCCCTCGCCTAAGCACCTTAGGTAGCTGGTATGTGGATCGCTGATGGGCATAGGCCATTTGCAGCGATTGCAGGGCATGCCCCGTCCCCCAGCTGAGTCCCGTTCGGGACTAACGAAGAATTGAGAACAATTATTAAGGGTAACTAAGAAACTACTAACTATATACAACTATATTACAGGTTTTCAAAGTTCACAAGAACAGAGAACGAAACGACGCTAGCTGAAGCAGCAGATGTTTCAGCATCGGCACTGGCAGCAAGAAGGAATTGAGGATGGGGGGAGCCGGTAGTGCCACTTATACCACACCATGCGGGCGCCACTCCAGAGAGCACCAGAGCCAGTCCCTTAGGGATACTGCTGAGGGAAAAACTTCTACCATCGGTGCATGTGGCGAGCACACACACCTAATATGAAATGGACATGAGCAAGCACTCGAAGAAGAACCATACATCCAGGCTGTATCCAAGCTTGGGTGCTTCTGCCCGTACCATATTTCTGAAATTCAGCCTCTTCTGTTTCTCCATCTGGCAAGTCATTTTCTCGAGATGTAATTATTCTAATTTCTACCTCTTTGGCCTCAATGACAGTGACTCCGACACAGTCATTCCAAACAGTGGGTAGCGAGGATGCAGATGTATAGTACCTAAGGGGTAGCTGCCAGAGGGTTTTTTTCTGCCTGTGAGGGATAGAGGCAGGTAGAATGCCTCCTGAGTTGAATTTCGAATATCCCTGGGCAGGTACATAAGGAGCCAAGTGACACAAGGAGGCCATACATCTGCTAAACCCACCTACACAAGAGACAGCCAGCATGATAGTGACAGAACTTTCTGTGTAATTTGGTCAATTCCAAGAAGTTAAAAGCCATTTCAATTACTACTTCTGCCTTGGAGTTCCCCTGCTATTTTTATGGTTTAAAAATCACTTCTCTTTTTAAATAGTTCTCTCCACCATTGTGTAAGGGACCCACACAAATGTATGATGTTAACCCAGTAAGCAGGACAAACAGTGAAACCGAGTGCATACAAAGTGCTATTAAATGCACACAACAGCAAAGATTTTTCTTCCCTGATCTTTCACTTACAATGATGTTATTTAACAGTTCTGAAGATACTCAAAAGAAATGCAGTTTTTAAAGTTAATATTGTTATGACTCAGCCTTTCAGGTATTTCCTTATTCATATTATTTTGCATTGGTAGAATTTACTAAAATGTTTAACAATTTATTCAACACAGCCTGACGAAAAAACCCAACAACCCAACAGTATGGTAATACAACCACCTGTTTGTAGTGCAATATGAGAGTGATAGATTGGTTATAGGTGTCTGCCGAAATTTTTTTTTATTATTATTTCTAGTGTTCTAATTTGAGGGAGGAGTGGGGTAAGGTTTTTATACCTTGATTCTTAATAGTCTGCCTTTCGAAAGTTCCTAGTACCATAGTCAATGGGAGCAACCTACTTCCTCAAAGTCAGGCGATAAGTCACACCTTGATCTGTATGGAATTTGAGTTGCATGGAATTGAAAACGTTCTTAGATAAAATCCTGACCTGTTTGGCGCTTCTTTCAAAGACCACATACTGCTGACACTGGTCAAGGCGCCTTTTTCTCATTGTCCAGTAATGCAGCACGCGGTTCTCCCTCTGGAAGAGTTCATTTAAGATATCTGCAGGGACAGACAAATGAACTGAAGGTTATGGTCCTTCATTTTGTAATGAAGGGAAGCTGTGAGGCTACAAGCTCTGCAAATAAATATTGTGTTGTATAAAGAACTGCACAAAAAAAAGTTTACAAATTAAAACAATGTTTTATAAACAGGGACATTGATTTAGTTAAAATAAAGACTGGTGGTGTGATCAAAATGTGCTATTGAAACAACAGGCTTTTGAGAATAGAGAGAGCACTTGATATAATGTAGGGGATAGTTCTGCACCTGAACGGGGACAAGTAGACAAGATGCATTTAAGCATTCAGGCTGAACATAATCAATAATCATTTCCCATCTGAAATTTCTGGAGTTCTATAAAGTATCTGGTGTCATGCAATAAACATGGATGAACATACAACTCAGGAATAAATAGGTTAACAGATTTATTCTTGTGATATCCTAACTCACCTCAGACCCCACGCATGCAGAGAAACCCACTAAAAAACTCAGAAATAAAATTACTGTAATTAACATTCCTTCAAAAGTCAACAAGAATACTGTCAGTCAAATAAATCAAGCACCGATTCAAATATTCCCTAGTCCATTTGGTTTCAATAAAATGAATTTATTACTTGGAAATGAAGAAGCATGTAAAGCAATTTTGCTGTTTATTATGCTATCTTTCTCCTTTTACATGTCAGAGAATCCCCCAAACAGCAGGCCCACAGGAATCCCCACCCACCTCCATTAATTTGACCTTTCATCCCCTCAGTTTGGTTAACCACCATTTTTCCCTTTACGTCAATGACAAGGACTGGATGCACTTTACTGTCACTCAACTGTTGCCGAGAAAGGGGGAAATTCTGGAGGGACACTAAAACAGAGCTTGTTTCTGATAAAAGCCACAGGATATAAGGGGCGAGATGCTGATGGAAACAGAGAGGGAGTCTGATGAGATGGAAACTGGTTTTCCAACTTGGGTGGGGGCAGGGAGAGGGGAAGGAAAGAGATCTGGGATAAGCTAGTGCCTACCTAAACATACAAGTGAAGATTGAGGTTTAAGGCAGAGGAGATGCATATAGACATTTGTTTTAACGCTATTTTAATTCTACTGTTAGTTTCCATAAACAAATAAATCATACATGTTTTTGATGAAGCTGTCCTGAGTCACTGCAGTTCATTTCTGGTCACAAACTTCCAGAAAGGATTCCACAGCCAGACCCAAACCCAGTTAGGCTGGCTCAGATGAATGCGGTTTGTGAAACAGGAGGTGTTGCCTAGTGAGCCAGTCTAAAGTGGGGTGAACTGCAGGTTTCCACTCTTGGAGAAGTACACATAGAAGCCTTATGAGAGGAGACTCACAAAGCTTTGTTTATTTAGCCTAACCAAAAGAAGGCTGAAGGGAGATATGATTGCTCTGTATAAATACACCAGAGGGATAAATACTAGGAAGGGGAGTAATTATGTAAGTTAAGCGCCAATGTTGACACAAGAAGAAATGGATAGAAACTGGCCATCAACAAGTTTAGGCTTGAAATTAGGTGAAGGTTTCTAACAATTAGAGGCGTGAAGTTCTGGAACAGCCTTCAAGGGGAGCAAAAAACCTAACTGGCTTCAAGACTGAGCTAGATACGTTTATGGAGGGGATGGTATGACGAGAATGCCTACAATGGAATGAAGCTGATCTGTGACTGCTAGCAGCAAATATTTCCAATGGCTGGTGATGGAACACTAAATGGGGAGGGCTCTGAGTCACTCCAGAGAATTCTTTCCCAGGTATCTGGCTGGTGGGCCTTGCCCACATGCTCAGGGTCTAACTGATCACCATATTTGAGGTAGGGAAGGAATTTCCCCCCAGGTCAGATGGACAGAGACCCTGAGGGTTTTACGCCTTCCTTTGCGGCATGGGGTATGGGTCACTTGCAGGTTAAAACTAGTGTAAATGGTGGATTCTCTGTCACCTGGAGTCTCTTAATCATGATTTGAGGACTTCAGTAACTCAACCCGAGGTTCAGGGCCGGCTCTGGCTTTTTTGCC